GGCTCGATTTTCTTCTTTGAGAAAAATATTTTGTATATTGTTTATAATCTATTTTTGATTCTATTTTCTCTACTAGTTTTAATTTTCTCGTTTTTAAAATACTCTTTAAAATTTGTTGTTTCTTACCAAGTTCTTCAAAGTTTTGTTATAAGTATCTTAGGAATACAGGATGAACAATAATCTTAAGGAAATTATTATATTATTGGTATTTCTTGTATTGTACTAATAACGGAAATAGATCATGGAAGTAGAAGATTAATGCACTACTTCTTCAGAATTCGGTGCCTTGTTTAGCAAGGTCAAAGTGAAAATGTACCAGAAAAATTGGTGGTATTCCGGTTAAAGATTATACAAGGTAACCTTCTTATTATTTATGTAAGGAGGAAAATAGTTTCTAAAAGTTAACTCTTTTGACATTTATCATGTGTGTCTTGGGAAAAAGATCAGCAAACCGTATGTTTTTTAATAAAGTTTCCTTGGCAAATAGTGTTGCCTTTAAAATTATTTAGTTTGTAGAATGAGATATGCATATTTTAGTTTGATAAGTAGTATGTCAAAATGTTATAGTTGGAAGGCTATTTGAAAAGAAAAACATTTCTATGTGCATTCAATGAGCTCGATATTCTTCTTTGAGAAAAATATTTTGTATTTTGTTTCTGATTCTATTTTCTCTACTAGGTTTAATTTTCTAGTTTTGAAAATACTCTTTAAACTTTATTGTTTCTTACCAAGTTCTTCAAAGTTTTATTCTAAGTATCTTAGGAATACAGGATAAACAACATAATGTACACCGATCCAGCAGTATCACTCTTGACTTGTCCCCTCCAGGATACAACAGCCCAACAACGTCGTACAAGTCAAACAACTCCAGATTAGTTGAAGAGTCCAAAGCTCCACATAAGAACACCCTCCTTCAACATATAAATATTCTCTTTTGTATAGTGAATATAGTTGAAAACTTAGAATATATTTCTTTGTTTCAACTCTCTCTTTCACTACACTAATCTCAATATAAATACAATACAATACTAATCTTTTTCACTCTATATTTTCTTTTTACATCTCTTGTTGTATCCAACATCTATCTATATATAATCGGAGAAGAAAAAACGTTTACGTGTCAGCACCACAAAATTTGTAGAAATATTAAATAATAAATAACAATTTAAAAAACAAAAAAAATTTAAAAAAAAAACAAATTAGAAACCGTTTTTTAAAATTTGTTTACCTTAATAATTGTTGTATTGATTTTTTTTTAATAAATTAAATATGTTTGTTCCTAATAAAATGCTACCTGTTTAATTTTTGAAATAAATTTTATAAATGTAGAAGTTAGAGTTTATGAAATATCAAAATTAATTAATTTAAAATTAAAATTAAACAAATATTCATAGTAATGTAACCACTCACCATAACTTTCCTAACACGTTTTTCTTTGTATTGTTTTTTTTTATAAATATATTTTTTAACAAACAAACAAAGAAGAAAAAAATTCCACCATATTCAAAGAACAACCAATGTAAACATTTTTTGTGCTTTGTTTTAAAAAAATTCAAATTTAAAAATTGTAAATTTAGTAACTGCAAAATAAATAAATAAAAAATAATAAAAGCATGTACAATTTTTTGGTTCCATGAGATCCGGATAATATATTGAAAATTTTAAACAGTTACGAAAAATTACTGTAGAATTTTAAATTGAGAAAACTACTACCATTTTTATAATACTTTCATAAGCAAAATTTCAATGGAGAAGCAAAAAAAAAACGGTTTATCAAATTGTCAAAGGTTTTAACTACACATGAATCTCAACAACAAAGTTTTCAATGGCAACTGCATTCTTAATGGCAAAGAAGATGAATAAGTGGGTGAGTTATAATCTCCAGTATAGTATATGTGTCCGGAAAGCAAAAAAATATTCGCAACGGTGGATTGTTTTCCAGTAAAAACTTTTATGAAGAATCATCCAAATTTTCACTCAGAAGAAATTACGTATTACAATTTTAAATGTGGATTTCATTTTCTATGAAAATAATGGATTGATAAATTTTATTTTTTCTAATAGATCTCACGACTGATAGATGCATTTGAAGACCAATGCAACCCTTCTTTTTATCCAACAAGTAGTTAATGACTGAGTTACATATCCATCTGATTTAGGAAACTGGAAAATAGACATGTCTTCAAAGAAATCGAGAAAAGTAGAGAGTGGACGATCAATGAGATTTCAAATGATGCTGAAAACTTTAATATAACAATGATTTCAACAACGACTACAGTGATAATGACGATGATGTTGATGATATCGACATTACAACAATGAAGATAAAAGTGGACAACAAAAGAAATATGAAGATGACGAAGGAGATCAAGCTGAAGAAGAAAAAGAAGATCAAGAAGGAACATAAAATGACTGGAATAATAAAAGAAATAGAGCAAAGTAGATCATCATTTTGCATTTTGGAACTTTTCAAGATTATATTGGCAATGGTAAGGAAACAAACATGGATAGTTCCATTTCATCACCATAATGTGATGATTTGTATTGTCAAACCATCACACATCATTCTTTCTTTAAATGTCTAGGTAAATATACCAATTTTATGTTGAAAATTCATAAAGTAAAACATAAATATAAGTGATAATCTATAAATCTTATAATATTTATTTTGCATAAACTTTCTTTCCTTTATAATATATATATAAAACATAAATATAAGTGATAATTTGTAAATCGTATAATATATAATTTGCATAAACTTTCTTTTCTTTATAATATGTAAAGAGATAAGATTTATTACCCACAAAAGTTTTATGTGGGTAATATAGGTTTTCTTATGTGTGTTTTTTTAAGTTGTTTGTTAGTTTGTATTAAATGTGTAAGAATTGTTTCTGAGTTCTAAAAATTACATTAAGTTATGGAGAAACATTTTATTTTGGCAACTTTTAAAATATTTAAAGAAAGAGGAATATTTACGAAAAATATACATATTTTTTAAAATAAATATATTCTTTTTATTTTTTAAAACATTCGAAAATTTAAATTCGTTTTTTTAAAAATGATTAAAAAAAAACAAACAATTCTATGTAATTGTAATCATATTTTCGTCAAATATAGCTAGGATATAAGATTGAAAATTAATTTAAATTAAAATAAAAGCTAAGTAAAGACTTTCACTAGCTATCCATGAATTATGGATCCTATTAACATGAAAATTGGACGTTTTAAATTTTCAAAAAATACGTTATAAATTTGTGTTTAAATTTTTAAAAAATATGTTTCAAATTTAGATAGGAGATAAGTTTGAAAATTAATTTAAATGAAAAAAAAAAAGATAAGTAAAGATTTTCACCAACTACCCACAAATTAGGGAACCCGAATGTGAAAATTGATAGTTTTAAATTTATTTATATTCAAAAAATTATTAGCAATTTAATTCGTCATTTTTAAAAAAAGAAAAAAAAAAGAGTTGTTCCAACCATACTTTCATCAAATTTGGTTAGGAGATAATTTTGAAAATTATTTTAAATTAAATAAAATATGAAATAAAGACTTTCACCAACTAGCCATGAATTATGGAAGACTATTAACTGTGAAAGTTGAGCATTTTAATATTTTTTTAAAATAAAAAACTAACAATTAAATCCTAATTTTAAAAATAAAATAATATAAACAATTTCAAGTTAGAATAACCATATCTTCGTCAAATTTGCCTAGGACATAACTGCACACACAATTTCAAATAATATCAACTCAAAATAAATATATTAATTCAACAAATAACTGTTGTCAAAATTCCAGTTCAACAAATCCATATACTCACCTTTAATTTTAATTTTGTATATTGCTCTTTACATATGAGACGATTATGTGGATTATATCATTATACTTTGCTATTTTCCATCACAAAACATAAATTAAAACAATTTTGAAAATTTCTTTACGTTAACTACACTTTATAGAATTATTAAAATTTTAAATTGAAAATTTAATTATTTTTAAAATATAAAGATCCAAAATTTATATTTTAATACAAATCGTTTTGGGGACAGATCTAAAAAATAGGATGTGAGAAATCTTTTTCTGTGGGAAGTTATTATATTTTTAATAATAATAACAACAACAACAATAATAATCTTATTACCCTTATATATACGTGAACAACCAAAAGGACTAACACAGCATGAAATAATTGTACTATAAGTTATGAAAATTGTACATTAACTTGGGCTTATTTTACTTTTTGCAGTGCTTTACATAATGGGAACTTTCACATATAACCACTCAAAAATAGCATAATTACTCTCCATAGCTATAGTTTGATAATTACAATTCGTAGCTACATGTTATATGGAGGAGAGAGGCGAGAGAGAGGGGGCAAAGAGTGGGAGAAAGGTGAATTGTATATGTATATAGGTTAGATAATTGTATATTATACATATGTATTTGTATATATGGCAAGCGAGATTGGGAGAGGGGAGGAGAGAGGCGAGCGAGATTAGGAGAAGGAGGAGAGAGGTGAGCGAGAGGGAAGAGAGTGGGAGAGAGGTGAATTGTATAGGTATATAGGTTAGATAATTGTATATTATACATATGCATTTGTATATATGGCAAGCGAGATTGGGAGAGGGAGGAGACAGATGAGCGAGATTGGGAGAGGGAGGAGAGATGCGAGCGAGAGAGGGCAGAGAGTGGGAGAGAGGTGAATTGTATATGTATATAGGTTAAATAATTGTATATTATATATATGTATTTGTATATTCTGGCGAATTATACATATACAAAGCTATTTATACAAACTCGAAGTCAGCCCGCGTAATTAATGTATAATGTTAGTCGTGAATGGTAATTATAGCAAACTATAGCTATGATGAGTAATTAAGTAATATAAATTTGCTTAACCACGTAATTTTCCCTTAAATTGGACTAAAAGCAATATAAGATGTTTGCCTCTTGAATAATGTCTTTGGTTCTTCTTCTTTCTTCACTCCTCTTTCATATCTGATTGTTTTCTTCTTCCAACAACAATGGTTATTTCTTATTTGCTTCTTCTTTTCTATGTTGTTGCTACGTTTGTACGGGAAGCCTTGCATGCAGGTAACTTTTTTCACTTTACATTTCCATTGAAATTTTGAGATTTTAACCTAATTTTTGAAATTTGAGTTTGAAAAATTCTAATAGCGAAAGGCTTGAAACTCACAAATGAATAGTGATAACTGAGACAGAAACCGACATAGTCTCTGGTATTATATCTTGTCGATTTTTAGTTTTTTTCCTATATAGCTTCCTCTTTGATCTGTCTTTGTTTCTCTATTTGATTCAATAAAACACTCGATTACCTCTAATGTTGTTTGTCCTGTTGCTTCTTACCATATTTGTTTCTCTTTGGTGCAGTTTGTTTGTTATATCTCTGTTGTATTTTTCAATTCAGGTGAGTTTTTTTTTTCTTCTTTTGTTATTTTTTGCTCCCAGTTCTTATTAATGCAGAGTATTTTTTTTTACTAATGTACATATAATGACAGGTAAAAAATTAATTATGCTTTTATTTACTGGAATAAAAAAGATAGCCAAACTGCTCCTTGGATAAGGATGACAGCAGCTTCGTTTAGTTTGCATTTCATTTATTAAAGGCTATTGTGGAACTTTTTGAGCATTTGGCTCTTTTGGTAACTGATTTTGGTCAAAATATACTCATAGAAATGTCATATTCTTTACTCAAATACCATGTTACTTTATTTGTTAGTCTGCTACTCCAAGAAAGGGTGAACTTTTTAAAATCCTTTTCGTGTTTCAGGAGATATTTTGATCACAGGCCAACTATCCGCCCAAATGCGAAGAAGCTTAATAATTTACTCCTTCATCGAAATAACATGACATGAGAAGAGTTTGCCTCACAAATTTGAACGTCTAGGTTTCATAGGCGAGCCAATGGAGGTAAAGCCAGGCAGGGGAGAGTTCCATGAAAACCCAACAACATGCATTTGTGCACATTCTGAAATGGATATCGGTGCTACTACTATTAGTGCTAGGAGATATATATGTGAAGTAATTGATGGTCAGGTAGGTGAAGAAGATCAAGAATGGTATGATGCAGAATATACAAAGAATGCACTTGAAATTCAATGAAGAGGGCTTCAGAAAGACATGATGCAAATTCTGGAAGATTTATAAAACAAAACAGTCAGAAATAGAAGAAGATTTTCTTAGATTAAAGAGAAGCTGCAGCATATGGAGCATGTCCTCATTCTGAGTACTAGCTTCAATTCATTTGATAACAAGATAACGGTAAGTCAAAGATATAAGCCAACGGTCCAGGTAGAAGAGAAAACTTTATAAGCCGCTTACTCAGAACTTGTGCTTTTCTATCCATACCGCTTCAATGCTGCATTTGTCTATTTCAATTTGTATAATTATAACATTTTTTTGGTACTTACGGGGATGCATATATCTATATTTTCTCGGTTAATTTTATAACACCTAATGACTTTGAAAACAACTCGAAGGTTGTGTCAACAAAAATTTCAACGTCAGTAATGCACTTATATTCTGTCAATTATTTTTGTTACCTTTCAGCTTAATTACGTTCTATATTGGAGTTGACAGAAAGTAGTAATCTTATTGTCTTTTATCTAATACTAATCAGCAGCAAACAATTTATTCTAATTTTGATGATTTAACTGAAAATAAGAAACAGTTGGAATTGGATTAGAGGCGACGAGATTTATGAAAATCATGATGAGGAAGATGAAGAGTAGATCATTAGACGACATTTTTGAATTTCTGGAAGTCTTTTTCCTGCTACAAAGAATGTGTAAGGGATTTTTTATTTAAAGAAACTGTCCTTTATAGTACTTTGTTTATGTAATCTGTTTGTGTGATAAATGTATGCAGATATGCTTGGGAGTGCACATTTAAAGAGTGTGTAAATGATTAAGAAGAGACAATATCAGTGCTACTTTGGTTGTTCTATTGGCAACAGTAACCACATATTATTTACACACATTCTAAGCATGGGCTATCCAAAGACATCAAACATCCTTCAAAGAATCATATTTGATGGCGCATATGTTGGCCAATGTTCTCACGCTGGTAAGTATTTACTTTCAATGATTTTGTTTGCCTTTCTGTCATACATTCTTTTAGCTAGCATGCTATAACAAGTTAACAACTATTTATACAATCATTATAAGTTAGATACTATGTTAAAATATAATAACCAAGTAGCATAAAAAGTTTCTACCGAAAATTGAGCTTAGAGTATTCGGGGAAAAAAGGCCACATTTAGGGATAACAGAACTGATAACAAAACTATTAAGAACTAATTGCATAAAGTCATTAGAGTATTTGTATAGCACAAGACAATAGTAAAATTAATACATAAAATAATTTTAGAAAAATATTTCAGATTTACCAACTACCTATTTGTCCTTATTTAGGTAAGGAACAACGAGTGTGTTTCAACAGGCTCTACCAACTTAGTATACTCTCTTTTTTTTAAACCCGAAAGCTTTATATTAATTGTTTTTTATGATTTAGTGTTATTCTTCTTAGTAAATAGAAATGTTATACCATATAAGCTTTGAAGTTTCAAACATTTTCTTTCATACTTACAGATGGATGGAGCCCAAAAAAAAATTTTAAAATCATTTTTATGTCAAGATTTTTCTTCAATAAGACACAGTTACTCCTTGATTGAATAATTTACTGTTGGATACAATATTATGTGAAAATGTAGTGGAAACAAAAAATTTGCACGAAATTTGACTAAATTAGATTCTTTGAGGTCGAATTGTGATGCCCCTTTCACCATAAGATGTGGCTAAATTGAATTTTTTTTTAGAGTAAATTGAGTTCTTATTTGAGTGTTTCATGGATAATTAATTTGATATTTATACAAGTATAAAAAAATTTAGCTGCTAAAACTTTTTGGGTTGGAAGATTTATTTTTAGAGATGCCTTCTCTTCAGCTTCTATAGTTTACTGAACATGGGCGAGGGCTTCTAAAAGGAAAGATCTAATGCTTACAACATGTATACTTATTGTTGGTGGGACAGCTGTTGCATACATGCAGTCACGGATAAGGGGTATGATTCTACGCAATGCAGTGGAGTGAAAGGTGGTATAATAGAGCCAACTAAGCATATTGGAAAGGATAATAATAAGAAGAAAAGCAGGTAAAATAAAGGAGATTTAAAGTCTGTAAAAGTTTTAACAGCCATTCTACTATCTCAATGGGTAGAATGGGTACAAGAGATCTGTTGGCTCTGGTAACATAGTGTTGAGTGAGATTCTTTACTCAGAGAATATATTTCATGTCTAACTTAAAGCATATATGTTACTGTTCAACCGCTCCTAGATCTGATAATTTTGGAGTATGTAAAAATGTGTAGAAGGTGTATACTGTAGTTTTTAGTGGAGAAAAAGACATAGCATTGAGACTTTTCTAAAAGGAAAATAAGAAAAAGCTCGAACACTTTAAAGATTTCAATAGTTAATAGCATATGCATATACTACTGCTGATTTTGGTATTTTTGTTTTGCAGGTTTGGATTTAGAGCCTCTACTTTCTTACCGTCTTGCTGTTGCTTATGTTTTCTTAAATCTTGTGTTTTTGTTCTCCTTGAGCTGAGGGTCTTTCAAAAACAACTTCTCTACTTGGCAAGATAGCAGTAAGGTTTGCGCACATTTAACTCTCATCAAACTCCACTTGTGGACCATACTGAATATGTTGTTATTGTATTAGGTAACTGAGTTGTATGTGGTCATGAAAATGCAACAACAAAGCACGCAGATGATGAAGGTATGTCTTACAAAATAAATCATTTAGTGATGATAAATTTGGATAGGGCCAATATATACACATCAAAAGTGCACCACTTGCAAAGGTAACTTGAGTTCAAATTTATTTACTGAGTTATGTTTAATATTTGCGATATTCTATCTTGAATTGATTGAGTGTGGAGTAATTGTGCTAATCATCAACAAATAATTAACTTATTATTATTATCAATTATAACAAAGTTATTGGATCAGTGATTACTTATGAAGTTAAGGCTTTTATTAATAAGAAGTTGAAGTTCTTTGGGCATGGTGATTCTGGCATAAACTGATTAACTGGTTATTATGGAGGTAGGAAAGAGGAGGGGAAGGAGATATAATCATAAAATTCAAATTTTATGAGGTAAATAGTAGTTACAGAAGTTCTTATGACACCATATATTTGCAAGGAATTCATAACCTAGGCATATGTTTTGTTTGATTGAACTTAACTTATAAAGAGAGCCTTTTGAGCAGCTCCTTTTGTAGTTCGAAAGCCTATAGTCTGAGATTCTATTTTCTCGTAATTGTAGCGAAGTATCTTCGTTAACTATATTTCCACCAAGTTGATGCCCTTATGATGTAAGAGAAAGACTGAAACGCATATTCTAAATATAGATCGACTTATCTTTTAATCTACTTGCAATTAATGTTCTTTTCTTGGTTATTATTCAAGTCGACTAACCTATTTACTGGTTTATGTCGGACATGAATCATCATTCAATGTGTTTGCTAAAATGTACAGTATTAAATTTTTTGATTGATATTCTTTTATTGTTCTTAAATTTTCTAAAGTTCTTTATGAGCATTGGCTCCATCCACCAAGTAACCGTAGATATTTTGATGGTGTAAGTTAAATGAAATTGATCGTTGAGTTAAAATGTGGGTTCAGTAAAATTACACTACAATTTCTCCTCTCACAATTTTCATCTTTCTCAATCTGAAGTATTGCATTTGATCTATCTTTGACAGAAGAGACAAAGTACAAAGCATGTCTAATAATTATTCTAGGATGGTCAGTCGTAAAATTACTTTTGGTGGTATAGCGAATCATGACAACTAATAGGAGTAGTGTAAATCATTGTAGTACTTAATTTATTTGTTCTCTGATGTGTAATTTTTATATTGCATGAACAAATTTTAAAGAACATACAAGCTTTCTGGAAAAAGAGTGGGAAGTGAGTCGAGAAGCTTTGAAGGACAATAGAAAATTTATGTGAAAAGGACTGAAGAAGAGCAGTTTAACCATTTGCCATATATGACTTCTGCTTGCTTCAATCATACCGAAAAGTTTAGCTTTACATTTTTCATGTACTACTTTATTCTTTTTCTACTCTTTATTGATATTTTTCATTGCTGAATGACTATAAAATGTTGAGTCCGTGCTAGCACCGGCCATGCCCATCTAGTATATATATAGGAGAAGAAAAAAAATGTCAGCACCACAAAAATTGTACATATATTAAATAATAAATAACAATTTTAAAAATATATTGAGACGATTATGTGGATTATATCATATGAGACGATTATGTAGATTATATCATTATACTTTGCAATTTTCCATCACAAAACATAAATTAAAACAATTTTGAAAATTTCTTTACGTTAACTGTACTCTATAGAATTATTAAAATTTTAAATTGAAAATTTAATTATTTTTAAAATATAAAGATCCAAAATTTAAATTTTAATACAAATCGTTTTAGGGACAGATCTAAAAAATGGGGTGTGAGAGTTCTTTTTCTATGGGAAGTTATTATATTTTTAATAACAACAACAATAATAATAATCTTATATATATAGGAGAAGAAAAAAATGTCAGCACCACAAAAGTTATAGATATATTAAATAATAAATAATAATTTTAAAAATATATTGATATTTTTTATTTTAAAAAAATAATAATAAACAATTAAATAAAACCACAAAAATTAACATACCACAAAATTCTCAAAAAAGAAACAACGACACGCTAATAACGGCACAAATATGTGTAAATGTGGAAGTATTTTAGTATTATTTTTCCTCTTTTTTCTACTAATTGATATTTATTATTTTATTTTAAAAAATATATATCTTCTATCTATATATATAATAGAAGAAGAAAAAAGGTCTATATGTTAGCACCATAAATTTGTAGATATCTTAAATAATAAATATTAGATAAAACCACAAAAATTAACATACCAAAAAATTTCTCAATGTGGGTTCTGATATGTGGAAACACAATTATTGTAAACGAAACAAAATATTTTAATTGAATAACATCGTAACATTTTAAAATATAAATATTACAACATTGTACTTGAAAAAAAAAATGTAATCACATTTAATTATTTTTAAAATTAGTGGGATCTTTAAAATTTATGTAATGTTGTTATCGTTTTTATTTTTAGTTAAGACAAAAAAAGTAGTGATTCCTAAAATATAGGTTACTAATTAAAATAGGATAATTTTATAAAGAAATTAATTATTTAAAACATAATAAAATAAAAACAATGACAAATATAAAAAACTAAAAATAAATAAATATAAAATAAACTATTTAAAACATTAAAAAAAAATCAGCCATTTGGATTATTTAAAAATATCCAAAAGAAAAAACTATTTTTAAAATTACCTCAACCATTGTTTCCTTTTAATTTATTTAAAATTAAATTTTGTAAAAACTGACAATCTCAACAATATGTCAGTTTTGCCTCTATATTCGGTTACTTCTTTAAAAAAACATTATATATATATATATATATATATATATATATGATTGTATTGTTGACTTCTAGATGCATCTATCAATTATATATATATATATATCTTTGTATTTATTAAGATTATTTTTTACCTTAAATCAATTTTCTATCATATTGCTGCACAAATTTACTATGAAAAAAAATATTTTGTAAAATCTTTTGATTTTGAATAAAACATATATAGAAAATGCATCAACATACTGTTTAATCTTATGATATCAAATATTTTTTTATGGAATGTTAGAATTAATAAACGACTAACATAATTTTTTTATTCAAATGATATGGAAAGAATAAATTACAAATTAATAAATTACTAACATAATTTTTTATTCAAATGATATGAAAAGAATAAAGTACAAACACATAAAAATATTTGAAGTATTTGATATTTGATCAAGATAAAATAATCATAAAATTAATAGTATCCTTAGAAAAAATTCAACCTGTTATATTATAAAACTAAAAGCTTAGCGGATATAGTTATATATATAATATTTTATCCGATAAAATAAATTGGGTACTAATAATATTAATTTAATGTTCTCAAATAAATAAGTTAATGATTTGTATTATTATATTATTATTATAACAAATTAAATATATTATTAAGTGCATAATAGATTTTATTAGTTATTTTTAATTATAACATTATTACATTTTAAATCATTCGCACAACGCGCGGGCACGTATACTAGTAAAGGAAGAAACACCACTATTTATAGGAGAGAAATTCTTCTTTGTATTGAAAAAGAATAATGTGGGTAATGATGTAGGTAAATGACCGGTCTAAAGGTTACATAAGTTATAATATTTAATGAGGTAGAATAATGGGTGAAATTAGTGATCACAGGAATAGTGGTTACAAGAGTTACACCAAAATAATGACCACATTCTTGTCAACTTATACCCACTAACATATGCACTTAATATTTTAATTTTAATTTTAATATTAAAATGTATAAACATCAACCCTAGATCCAATGATTTTCTAAAAATAAAAATTAAGAAAAGAAATGTTTTCTTGTCCATTTACGCCAATTAAAAATATTGAAAGTGGATAAATTGACGTACACTCCAAAAGATATTTCATGAGGTATGCATCTGACTGTCTAACAAATCTTCAAACCACAAGGGTCTTAAAACAAGAGAGAAAATGGTCCTTTAAGGTATGAGAGTTGGACTATTTTAGTCCTTCATAAGTCATATATACCACAAGGTTTAAGTGGTCCGTAACATGCAAAAATGATTATTATAGTCCCTTTATATATATCAGGTAACTGAAATAATTTTTAATATATATAAAAAAATGATAATTTTAGTTTTTATAAATACAACATAATCGAAGTAGTTCTTAATATATGAAAAAAATGATCATTTTAGTGTCGCACGTTAAAAATAACACTGCAAGCAAAACGATCTTTTTCGTCCCGCCACCACCATGTTCACTTGCAATAATGAAGTGAATATTTTTCTTACTTTTTTTATAACATAGTTTTATTTATTAAGTTGGGGTTTCAAAGGCAAAAACATTGTTTAATTATGTATAATTTACATAAATCCTATATTGTAAAACCTAAATTACATCATATTCCTTCTCTTTTCTATTTTACAAAAATCCCTTAAAAAAGGAGTCATCCGGATACATAATTGATTGTCTGGATATATTAATTATGATACATTATTTTGCAGCTGTTGCGTTTAAAAAGGAAAAACAACAAAAAAAATCTAATTACAATTCCATAATTTATGCAATTCAGTTCCCCTCTTACTGTCAATCACTGAAACCTAGATCCTAACATAACAAATCAATTCAAAAATCAAAATTCCATATACGTCATCGTTCTTCCTGATTCGTCGTTCTCCATATTTCATCGTTCTCCATATTTCGTCGTTCTCCCTATTTCGTCGTTCTCGATGTTCATCATTCTCCCTGTTTCGTCGAAGAAACTTTCTAAAGCTTAGATATGAATGATACCGGAATGATATGATAGTGGTCGGGGAGGATAGTACGGAGGAGTAAGTGAATCAAATTCAAGATACAAAGATCTGATAAAAAAGGTATGAGATTAGTTGTTTTTAAAATTTTCCATGTTTCGTCGTTCTCGTTGTTCCTCGTTCTCACCGTTTCGTCGAAGAAACTTTCTAAAGCTTAGATATGAATGATACCGGAATGATAGGATAGTTGTCAAGGAGAATAGTACAGAGGAGTAAGTGAATCAATTTCAAGATACAAAGATCTGATAAAAGGTATGAGATTAGTTGTTTTATATTGTGAATTAGTATTTTTAATTTTTCGATACATAAGTCGTGATATTGTTCATGATACATTGCTAGTTACTACTTTATAAATAAAACAGTTGCATCAGATGTGTTAGATTATTAGATTTGTGGATCATTGTTTGGTAATTCTAAAGTATCAAAGACATGTAAAAAAAATAATCGTTTTTTTAACATATCATTGACGATGCGAGTGTAATTATGGTACATAGGTATGAAATGTCTCATGTAGTTGTTCTATATCTGAAACATGTAAAATGTTGAGGACAATATGGTCCATTGAGATTAGTTGTAATAATGTATCTTGCAATTTATTTATTTTTGGAATGATACATTAAACAGTAACAAAGTTTTAATGTATCTTGTACAATTGCAGCAGTGAACAAGGAGAGAATGATGACTTCTAACATCGCATAATGTATCAATGGTTGCCTTGTTGAGGCAAGACAACTACCTATATTATGCTCCTTGGAAGAAGCTAGAATTCTATTTAGTTCTCAAAACTGCAAAAATCAGGAAATAACATCTTATACAAAGGATACATTTGGAAGGATATTTGAAGAGATTTTGACTATAAACGCATCTAAATGTACAAAAGAATGTCATGACGATCAAGGAAAAGAAGGAAGAAAAATCCAGATGAAAAACTAACCACAAACACAAACTGTTGTGGACGTTCTGGACAAGAAGGTCACAATCAAAGAACTTATACTTTTTTCTGAAAGATTCTTAATGAATAATTTTTTTGGAGTACTGTGATGTATCAAATTAATAATTTTCAATTTGTAACATTTCTTTTCATTGTTATAGATATATACATTATAAAGTACTTTTAGATTATTAATTTCTGATATAATAAATTAATTTGTATCAAACAGTTTTTAATTCTGCCTATAATTTTGATTGGTAATTTCTGATATAATAAAGTGAATCTGGTACAAGGAATTATGTTTCAGATTTACTATTTATATTATGTATGATTTTGTGTTTGATACAAAAGTGATTGAGAAATGTTGTGTGTAACGTATAATGAAGTGTGAATATTAATGTATCACAAACAAAAGAAATTAGTTGATACATGCTTAAAGTATACATTGCATTGGTTAAATATTAAATGTATTTGTAGTTGCTTAGAACTACATAAAACAATATGATTGTGCATTTATTTGTTAATTATTATAAATCACTACTAATATATGAATCAGATACTTATTTTTTTTGTATCAAATAATGATATAGTATCTAGTGTTAGGATGTATAAAATACTTATAATCGATATAATGTAACAAGGTACTAACAATATCGAAAATTATATTAAAAATAAATAATTTTGTTACAAAAAAACTATAAAACTT